ATAAATTTACAATATTAGTGACAATTTTAGGAAAAAATGGCGGCCATTTTGAAACGGCTGGCAACCCCCCTTACGTATGAAAAAAAAATGTTGCACATACTTTTTTGATTTATCTATGTCTACTCTACATCATATAAAATTTTTAAAAAATATAGCAAAAAAAAATGCAACCAACCAAAGTTTGCTGGACTATGATTCCCAATGATGATTCCTGAGTGGAATTTTCTTTTTTTTTTTAATTTCTGCTTCCCACCCCCTAAATTTGTGGGATGCCCTGTCCCACCCCCTGAATATTCCTGATGATGACATACTGTAATTAATGTCGGAATATTGAATCCCAACACGATGGCGTGCATTTCAATACTTTGAGTATGTATTATACTTTCTTTTCTGAGATTAATCAGTGGAACTTTCTGTTATGCATATCGTTTAGTATGTTCGAAACAACTAAAATAATTGTACTTTTCACTTGTATTAGGCCCTATTAATAGTAATAAAGGAGGATTAATACTGCATTTTATAAAAGGCAGTGCTATATATATATATATTTTTTAAATAAATATAAGCTATCAATATTTCACAGGTGACGTCATCTTTGCGGCACACTATTCTGGCATTTATATTTCGGATATCGATCACTCTAATCCTTCTGATCTTAATTTGACGAAAATTCAGATCGAACCTATGGTGGAACCAGGCCAACTTGCCTACAATCCATCTACTTCAACTATTTATTTCACGAACAGAGATGAAATGATTAATAAATATTCTCTGAAAAATAAAAGTTTGGAAACATTCATTTCTAGAGGTAAATGTTATTCTAGTCTAAAGCTCTGTCCAGGTTATCAAATTTTCTTTGACAAAAAACTGTTATATGCCCATATATAGTCATGATGTGCCTATATATGGTCAAGATATGATGTCATCATGACCATATTTAGGCATGTCACTTGTTTTGTCAAACAAAATTTGACAGTCTAGAGAGGGCTTTAAGCTTCGTCCATACTTTCAAATTATATTTGACAAATAGAAACTGCTGTATGCCCATTGCCCATATACTCATGATGTGCCTATAATATTGTCAGTATGTCAAAATGTCATCATGACAATATTTTAGACATATAAATAATATATGAATATGTCAAGTACGATAATACATTTACATAGGCCTACATAATTGTACTGGTATACATGTTGGATGAGACGTTTTACTGTTATAAATTTAACAAAAAGTGGCTGTTCAAATATGTTTGCTTCACTGGTAGTGGGCGTATGATGCATGGTATACAAGTCATCATGACAACTTATATAAAATGTCATATTCTGGATAGGGCTTTAGACATATCAAATATGTATTTATAGAGGCCTACATTAATAGTACCGGCATACATGCATATAAGTAAAATACCGACGCTGGATGAGACTTTTTGCCGTTATAAATGTAATAAAAAGTGACTGTTCAAAAATGTTTGCTTCACTGGTAGTGGGCGTATGATGCATGGTATCGAAACACACCTGGCTGGGGCTAGCCAACTGTTTTTATAGATTATTTTGATTGTATATTTTAGACCAATAATTTTTATTTTTAAGGTTTAATGCCTTTGAAATGCTTAATTCAATTGCTGTTTGTCACTTATTATCTAGAATGAACTTATTTCCTCTGGTTTGTCACGTGTAATCCATGGCATATAACGTCTCTAATCAAGTAGGCCTAGGCATATAATATATGAATAAAATACAATATATTATATTTATCATTAAAAATGAGTCAAACATCTTTTCGATTACAGAAACAGATACCAGATATGAAGCAATTGCTATTGATGTCACTAAACAGAGACTCTATTTTGGAAGCCTGAACAGCGACGTTTACCAAATTGAGGTCATTAACTTAGATGGCACCGACAGAATAACACTTATTCCTAATATTGCAGGTCTTGTTAGAGGAATACAAATAGATGCAGTAAACGGGTAAGATACACATGCTTATAAATACTAATATATAAGCCTATTATTTAATTTCTTAGGCAGCCTCCATCAAAAAGTATCTCTTTCTCATACTGAATAAGCGCACGAGCATAACATGATAAAGGTATGTAGGTTTTTCTTTATATAACTTTTGTGCATGATTTTTTTTTACCTGTGTTTCCTCCTATTGTTTAGTCGTGTGTCCAAATAAAAATATATATTTTATAAACAGTGGTCTGGTGGCGCTAGCGGAGGCCCCCTTTACATTCCCCCTACTCTTTCGTTGGACAGGCCTAGACGTAAACATAAAATGAAAAGAAAAGCGGCGTTCCATAGCTTATCACGGCCTCCACCTTTTTTTGACCACCATTTTTGACTACCTCCGATTTTTTATTTGTGTATTTTATTATCTTTATTTATCTATTTATTTAATTTATTCAAACCTTAACCAACAGCGATAGAAACTTACATAAACAGGTTGGAGAAAATACATACACAGGGAAACAAATATGTATTGTACAAATTTACATTAACGATGTACTACTATATCAGTCATGAGGTAAAGAATGATAATATGAATTCCGCATTTGAATTCCTTATTTTTTTAAAAATTTAAGTAAGTTGTTAAATTGAAATTAAAATTTGAATAAAATAGTAATCCCACGTTAATTTTCAGACCCTTAAATATTACTATTCTCTTTTGCACATATCCCTCTTAAATTCAATCTGTTTCTAGTTGAAAGCATAATCTATTTGATCTTTTAAAGGGGCTATTCAAAATTCCATTTGAATTTTTAAGGTATTTTTTTTCTTCTTGACTGATATGGCTAATCTTTGAGATAAACTCTCTTTATTACGTCTACTCGGTCAAATGGAACACGGATTATGTTCTTAGTGCGAGTACGACTAGGAACGTTCAATGTAAACAAAGGTACAAGATTGCAATCAATAGAATTTAAAATTTTGTAAAAAAAATTAACATTAAAGTCCACGTTTACTTAATGATTCAATATTTTATAGATAATCAGGGCCTAAAATTTTAAAACTACTTTGTATTCTGTCTATATCGATGGGCCTGGCTTCTAGATGCGGACAAACGATCACTTTATACGAGCAAATTACAACAGGTCCATCATTCATAAACTTACAGTTTCTCCAAATTATGCCCAACGTTCGACTATTATTTGACACAACACACTTAACATAACAGAAATTTAACTATTGTCAATAAAAACACAAATTTTCTGAACAAAAACTAATTCAAGTTCTTTCATACATTAAACAGTTAAATTGGTTGAAAAATGCTTCAAAGTCGTATTTTAAATCAGCAAATTAACGAAATATAATCATTGTGCTGAAACAAATTACAACCAAATTGTAAAACTGTTCAAACCGATTTTAAACAATAGAAGCGAAAAACAGTAAAATCACCCATTACTCACTACACAACACTGGCTATAGCGCTTGCATAAATTGACTTAAGCTGTGGTTCGATGTTTTTCGTCTAAGCACCTCCCTGAATTGGTAAGCTAACGTCTGATCAGGATGTTCGTAGTCTAAAATTACTGTATTGGCGTTTAGAAAAACCGCCCCTCCGGCGCTCCAGCTTCATTAGCGAGCTTTCGTTTCAGTACGGGAGAAATCTAATACGGTAATCAGAGCCGAAAATTCATCTGCGCATGCGTGAAAGATTGCATCTCACAGTACCGCGGAATTTGAGGACGGTTCTGACTGAAAATAGCGTCGCGGTTTAGAACACAACGATAAGAGGTTGTCTTGTATGTCAGCATCACGCGGCGAGTGTGATCCAATGACCGGGGTAATAATGTGAAGCGCTTAGAGGCTTTGTTAAGGCATTAAGCGCTATATAAGAACGACATATTATTATTTATTATTAAAGGCGAATAGAGTTAGAATTGGAGAGTGATGTATCTCGTTGTTTAACTTATGATAACACTTTAATGAAATTATGGTTTCATGTTCAAAGTCAGTGATACAACACATACATTTAGATGATTCAGACAAGTCGTATAGCCCTAGTAAATGTAGATGTACTGTAGGCCTAGGCCTAGATGGACAGCCTCGGCTCGGTTCTAGCCTGGCCTGGGTCTAGCTAGGCCTAGCCTAGGCCCTAATTTATTAAGGTACTCGCGGCCTGCCTAGGCCTAGCCTATAATAATGCCTACGCAGCGACAAGTGCCTCATGAACTCTGTGTAAGTTCGCCATGGTTTGGTAACTAAAGTGAGGGCGCGCGTTCGCACGTATATTCCCCCGTCGCGTAAACGGAACGCAACTTGGTTGCGAGTACGGTCACGGTCTGTTGGTTCCTCCGTACTGTGTGCTCACCGTCCTCAAACGAAAGAAGTGTTAAATATTTGTTTACACCCTTTGGCTGTGTTAAGTTGTCATATAATTCCCTTACCAAAATGGACAATTCATTCCAATTGGAAAAAATCATATTGGATCCAATTGGAAAATACATCATTGGATTTTGGCACTTTCCAACTGGAAATTACATCATTGCATTTTGGCACTTTCCAATTGGATTCAATTGGAAAATACATCATTGGATTTTGGCACTTTCCAATTGAACTTGTTTCCAATTGGACTTGGAATTTAAAGACAATCTAATTGGATAATTGTTATCCAATTGGAATTTAAAGACAATCCAATTGGATATTTGTTATCCAATTGGAATTTTAAAACAATCCAATCGGATATTTCTCTTCCAATTGGAATTGAAAAACAATCCAATTGGATATTTGCTATCCAATTGGAATTTTAAGATAATCCAATTGGATATTTCTTATTCAATTGGAATTTAAAGGCAATTCAATTGGATATTTGTTATCCAATTGGAATAAGTAAAAATTCCAATTGGATATTTATAATCCAATTGGAAATCTGTTCCAATTGGATTTGTTTTTTTTTTAGTTCAATTGGTATTTATTATCAAATTGGATTTTAAAAAAAATTTCAATTGGAGATTAATTGTCCAATTGGATTTTTCCAATTTCTAATTGGTCATTTGTCATCCAATTCATTCCAATTGGATTTATGAAAAAAAATCCTATTGGACATTTGTTATCCAATTGATCTCAATAGGATTTTTTTCTTAATTGGAACCAATTGGATCCAATTCATTCCAATTACAATCCAACTGACTCATATTGAATCCAATTCAATTTCCAATTGGAATGAATTGGTCATTTTCGTAATGGGAATGTAGTAGTTATCTCTTGTTCATCACATTTATTAGAAGCTGGGAAATTTTACTCCTTAAAGCTGGACTTTCAGTCTAATCATCTAAGTATAGACCCCTTTCAATGTTTACATTGGACCTGGCTGAAACGCTGGCGGCGCTTTAACTGGCGGCAGACAGCATACCGTATTGTACACTGTCTAGCTAGACCATGGAGATATAATAAGAATACTAGAGCGCTAACCGCAATGTATTCGATGTTCGAAATACGCAGAACTGTGTGTACCATCAAAGATGGCTGCCATAGATTTAGCCAATCAAATTTCGCCTAAGCGCCATTGTTTGCAATTGCGCCCTCAACTTATTAAGAAAGTTCAGTGTAGTTCACGTATGTTTGAAACTCGAGCGTTGCGGTGTTTAGGTGTAGTGTACACGATTTTAATTTTCATTCCTTGGCACTTTATTTTTGAATAAGATGCTCCACTGGGCATCGTTTTGGCTACAATAGTTTAAAAGAGAACTAGCAAAATGATTTTTTGTTTTAGAGGAGATTTTTGATATGCCATTAATAATAGAATCAACATTAAAATCGTTATTTGGCAATTGTTTATGAAGTTACAGGCCATTATATACGATTTTACCATGACGTCACTGGCGAAAAAAAGTAACAAAAGATTGTGTATATAGCCCCGCGTAGGGTATCCATCGCGTACGATCTTTGCGTGCATGCTGTAACCATGGTTGTTGTAACTTGCATATCAAGTCATAGGCCTATGGGAATTCATAGGCCAATGGGATTCATAGCCCCCGTTACAATACAGGGAAAGTTGCTCCTACGAGAAATAACGACAGAAATGAAAGGCGAACACAACTCTCCTCAGGATGTGTGGGATCGACCACTCCCAGAGAGATACCTTCCTAAATGGAACCAATGGCTGGAGTCACTCAATCATCTTGAAAATGTAGACGTGAAAAGATGGTACCGGCCACCAGATTTTGGTGTTGTCAAAAGCAAAGAAGTACATATATTCTCCGACGCCAGCAACCTTGCCATTGGAGCTGTGGCTTATTTGCGACAAGTAGACGAGCACAACCAACACTATGTCTCTTTTTTGCTGGCCAAAGCGAAGGTAACGCCAACACATGCTGTATCGATACCACGACTGGAACTTTGTGCAGCAGTACTAGCTACCACCCTTGCACAGACAATTTGCTCCGAACTTGACAGCCGAATAAGATTAGATAGTACCACATTTTACACAGACAGTAAAGTGGTACTAGGATACATATCCAACGAGTCCAAACGATTTCACACTTTACGTCGCAAATCGAGTTCACAAAATACACACCTTGTCAGAACTACATCAGTGGCACCACGTACCTACAGACGAGAATCCTGCCGACATAGCTTCACGTTCTGTGCCAGCTAGTCATCTTAATGCTACAATTTGGTTCAAAGGACCGATGTTTCTTTGGCAGAAGAACTACTTTTCAGAATCCAGAGAAAAACCTCACCCGAACCCGCAGTACCTACTCGGTGAAAGTGATCCAGAATTACGTAAACAAGCCAACGTAAATTCCACAAGCTTATCAGCTACTAACAAAACGAAGTCTAATTTAGGCTGCGAACGTTTTTCACGCTTCTCTACATGGATATCACTCAGAAGAGCTATTGCAACGTTAATTGTCAAAGCACAGACTTTCAAATCAGAAAAAAATAACCCAAAACCTAAACTGGTGGGCATTGAAGAATTTTGACGTGCTGAGATATCCATTATCACCACAGTACAGAAAGATCAATCTCAGACAGAGATAGACAACCTAAAAAAGAATGCTGACTCAGCTTCCTGCGATACCGTTAAGGATAGCCCTCTGTACCAATTGTCTCCTTTCCTTGACGAAAACGATATCATCCGTGTTTGTGGAAGACTTCGACGATCTGATCTCGATCTTGGGGGACGTCATCCAGTGCTTCTTCCTAAACAAAGCCATGTCTCAAAATTGATAGCTGAACATTTTCATAAAGAAGTACAACACCAAGGGCGGCACACAACTTTTTCAGTCATACGATCCGGAGGCAAATGGATAATTGGAGCCCACGATTTAGTGAGAAGCATAATTAATCAGTGTACGATCTGCCGAAAATTAAGAGGAAAACTTCTTACACAAATTATGTCCGACTTACCGAAGGATAGAGTGGAAACCACACCCCCATTCACCAACGTCGGCATGGATGTATTTGGGCCGTGGAACATCATGGTAAGAAAGACAAGAGGACATACGGAGGCAAAACGTTGGGCAGTCTTATTCACCTGTTTGTGCAGCCGAGCAGTACACATAGAAGTAATCGAATCTATGGACACCTCATCATTAATTTTGGCCCTACGTAGGTTTGTTTCACTACGTGGTCATGTCACACGGCTTAGGTGTGACAGAGGAACAAACTTCGTTGGAGCTAATTTTCGTCTTATCTCTTAGAAAGTTGCCAAGTGCGAGAGTGCTAGGCTATAGGAAAGTGAAAGCTTAATTGCACGACGATACCGCAGTTTGGCCGTTGTTCGATGGACGCTGAAAGCAACAGTGCAGACATTCGACTAATGAGTTAGATGAAAAACGCATTTTCAGGATATGCAATCAATTCGACTGCACTAATATTATTTTACGCAACTATAAAGTCTACCAAATGTTGCTATAATGATTACTTGCCGATTAATTACTCCATTCATTAAAAAAAAAAAAAACCACACGAAACCTTCGTCAAAGTTAGCGTAGCCTCACCGTGGGATAAACGGAAGATTCATAAGCCTATTCGAGGCCTTCATACAGGCGGAGGCGTTGTCGCCAAACTTTTTCACTTTCTGGGCCTAACGCGCTCGCACATGGCAATATCTGAAGAGGTGAGTTTATAAATTGAATAAAAATAGAACATATACAATTTCGTAGATTTTTATTTTTCTTGTCGATTCCTAATATATGTAACTATGTCATACAGTGTGTGAGTGTTTCATCAATGTAGCTTTCATGTTTTTGGCACAACAAAAATATTATATTAATAACCAAGAATATAGATAGGAAGAACGAGCAGCTAGCGTATATTGCATTACAGAATTGTAACGGGTTTTTTTTTAGTCAGGCCCTCTCGTGGCAGTGTGTGAACTTCCTATGTTCATTATAAAAATTACAGGTAAATAACGTGGGCTGTTTGCGATGCTTTTTTCGACTTGCGGGGGACGGCCTTTTTTAAACATTACTGTATATTTATTTATCTAATACGTAATTTTTATACGAGTATATATATAGAGTACATTTTGCAGTGTTATATGAAGACGATAATAATAATAATAATAATAATAATAATAATAATAATAAAGTTAAATTTGATATAGCACAAAATTATCTACGCCTCTAAACCTATATATCCTATAAATGATTATTATTATATATATATTATATATATATATTATTATTATTATTATATATATTATGATTATATTATGATTATATAATCATAGGGCCTAGTTAGGTATTTATTCCTATGTATGTAAGACTATGTTTGCATCAGTTGCCTTTTATGTCCTATTACCTAATAACAAAACATTACATGTTGTGAGTGAATATTATTGTATTTCATTGTAATTTGTTATATTTTCAGAAGATATTTCAGCCGCTCCAAATCTCTTTCCTATTCTTCCTTCTTCTTTTTTTGTTATACAATTTTGCGTTTTAATCATATTTTTCATAATTGTATACACTCACATATAGTCACTTGTTTAGGCCTAGACTAGGCTATACCTCGGCTCGCCAATTACTATAGTATTTAATTATACAATTTTGATAGATAAGATTATTTTAACATTTATTTAAATGTAAATATAATGACGTTAACGAATAAATAACAATAAATAAAACGTGTACATATTATCACTACTACAATAATAAGATTAATATTTTTCAATCTTATGATCAATTTTATATAGCCGGAGTTACTGTAGTTTCGACCTGGGCAAACCTTTGCTAACTTTGAACTTGAACAATTAAATATAGGCCTACTCATTGGTTAAGTCACAGGTAGATCAACTTTGCTTACTTCTTTGAATTTTGAATTTCGTCTACTCGATATTATCTTGGAATTCCGTCTTTCCAAGATACGTTAACTCAGAATGCCGCCTTTCCAAGATAAAGTATCTTGGAAAGATGTCTTTCCAAGATAACGTATCTTGGAAAGACGTCTTTATAAGATAATTTATCTTGGAATTCCGTCTTTCCAAGATAAATTATCCTGGAAAGATGAAATTTCAAGATACATTATCTTGGAAAGACGGAATTCCAAGATAAATTATCTTGGAAAGACGTATTTCCAAGATACATTATTTTGGAATTCCGTCTTTCCAAGATAAATTATCTTAGAATTCCGTCTTTCAAAGATAAATTATTTCAGAAATCCATCTTTCCAAAATAAATTATCTCAGAAAGATGTCTTAAAAAGAATTTATTCCATGTTTCCAAGATAATTATCTAGGAAACTTGGAAAGTCGGAAGGTCACTTTAAGCTTCCGTACGTTACCAAGTACGTTATTTTTCCTTAATTGTAAATCGACGCTTCTAATTGTTAAGCGTAAAGGTAAATTCGCGCGATGTACGCCAGGTCAAGGCAGTCAAAGTTCAAAAGTTTTCATTTTTGCAAGAGGGCGCCGTACACAGAGTTATGAAGCATCTTTCCATTTGGACGACGCGGCGTTCTACTACGGGCAGTGGAGCGTGAAACCCTACTGCGCATGCGAATACATGGGGAAGTCGCTCGTTGTGTGGATTTCACATAGAGCTATTAAACAACTAGAGTGCTGACAAGATGGCGCAGCAATGCAGAGTTATGTATGTGTACCATCCAATATGGCCGTCGTAGTAAAGCGCCACCTTCAGGCTTATTATACATATTATTACATATTAATAAGCCCTCTGACTGACTATCATTTCATTAATGATAATGAGTAATGGTAATAACAAATTATTAAACTATTGTAGCCAAAACGGGGCTAATTGGAGCATTTTATTAAAAAATAAAGTACCAAGAAATTAAAATTAAAATCGTGTACATTACGCCCAAACATCGCAACGCGAGTTTCAAACATACGGCCGTAACTAGCTGTACTGAACTTTCTGAGTAAATTGAGGGCGCAATTGCAAACGATGGTGCTTAGCGAAATTTGATTGGCTAAATCTATGGCAGCCATCTTGGATGGTACACACACACAGTACACACACACATTTCGAACATCGAATACGTTGCGGTTAGTGCTCTAGTATTCTTATTATCTCTATTGGATTTGACAACAAGCTTTAAGCGATTTGGCGTTGTGTTGACAACGGCAACGTGGGTTAGGTTATGACGTCTCGCTGGGGGCGCCTGTATAAGTGATCACGCAATACGAGGGAGCGCATCGTCCTGTAAATCGAAAGTAAGAAGTGCATAGTACTTGTAAAATCTTTTTTATATTCCATTCATAAGCATTGAAATCTTAAAGTCGCTTTTAAAAATTTGAGCAGCAAAAAAGTATCTGCATGATTGACAGAAATTCTTAGTTTGATTGTGTAAAGTGATTGCTTAGTTCTATTTTTAATTTGATATATGTTGCATCTGTTGCATCAACCTCTTTACTCATGTTAGGACCATATACGACATAGTGTGGTTATGAAAAAATATGATATATACTCTACTGACATATATATATATATACGGCTTTCTTTTGTATTTAGTTATTTGTACTGGAGTACATCCGCCAACAATAACATACCTGCGGCCATTAGTCGAGTAAGATTGGATAATTTAGTTAGCAAAGATATACTTATAAATACTAGCCTTTCTGTCACAAGATTGGAATTAGATGTTGAAGGTAAGCTAATGCGAAATATCAATAATATATGAGTTGAATTAATAAATGAAAACATATACTGTAATAATGTTAACATTCGTCTTATATTTCTTCATTATAAAAATTAAACTAGGCTACGTTATATATATATAGACAAAAATATATAAATATATATATCTGTCTCTTATACACATCTAGATGTGTATAAGAGACAGCCTTTAGCGACCTTGTAGAAAATCTATTAAAACTCTATAAAGCTGGTTTAGAAAATCATATAGAATTAGCCTATAGAAAAGCTGTAGAAATTTTATAGAATGGTTTCTTTAGAAATTCTATACATTATTTTCCTACGGGTATGTACGTATGTATATGTGTGTATGTGTATGTGTGTGTGTATATGGGTGTGTGCGTGTGTGTGCGTGTGTATGTGGAAGTGTGTGTGTGTGTGTGTGTGTGTGTGTGTGTGTGTGTGTATGTGCATTACGTTTATGTATAACGTTTATTGTTGGAAGGATTGCAAAGCGAAGTAATAGTATATATTAATGCTTGCGGTACCCCACACGTAAGTGTACCGAAATTATATTATAACGTTAGTATAATCGTAATGTTTAAACTTCATTAAAAAAAATGTGTTGTACCAGAAGGTTGAACGATTTAAAATTAAAGAAACTGCATCATACAGGTGATAGTCGTACCTGCTCGCACGTGTATAAGACTATGCGTACATCAAGGTCGAAATTATCGCGAGAAAACATTTAGTTGTGAAACAACCAGCAAATGTAAGTTCACAGAATATTTATCTAAATTAAACAAGCATCGCGTTTAATTTGAAGGGAAATAATAAACTATCTTTAAGGATTTATCTCTCATTGACGTTGTGCGATCACCAACTCTCACGCCATTGCATTTGTTTACAACATAGCACATGGTTTCCGTGCAGCCTTTCGCTCGCCTTCCTGAGGAAAAAAAGGCCTATTGAGTGTCTACGGTACGAGAGTTCGCTTGTGTCCTTGGGAAAGGCACTTTATCTACAGTTGCCTCTCTCCACCCAGGAGTACACGTGGGTTCCTGGTAGGTTCCACAACTGCGCTGATTGCTAGCTGTAATATTATGGAATAATAATGTAATTTAATTTAATAATTTAATTTGGTGTTGAGTATGTGTTCCATATGTGTTTGATCCAATGACCGGGGTAGTAATGTAAAGCGCTTTGCGCATGAAGCGCTATATAAGATGAACGCCTTAACAATAATAATAATATTTATTATTATTTATTATTTTTTATTATTATTATTTATTATTTTTTATTATTATTATTTTTTATTTATTATTATTTATTATTTTTTATTATTCATTATTTATCATTTATTAATTATTTTTTATTATTCATTATTTATTATTTATTAATTATTTTTTATTTATTATTTATTATTATTTATTATTTATTATTTATTATTTATTATTTATTTATTATTATTATTATTATTATTATTAATGCCACATACGGCATACGTAAGCTGGTCTGCCGATTTCGCACTATGTACCAATATACTAGATGGATCCAGTATTTATATTTAATAATTTAATGTTTTATTTAATATAATGATCCATGTATTATTGTTTAACTTTTTTAATAGGCCTATATACTCTTTAGAGTTTGCATAATGCAATTCCTTAAGTATTACATATTTTAAGTTAACGAATAAAGTGAGTCGCATGATGTACCGGTAGATTATAAGGAATAATTACAAGTAGTTTCCATTGTTTTCTCCTATTGAATGTACCACGTAGGACCTACCGAGATTCACAATTGACGTTTAAGTATAATAATAAGAAATAATAATTTTCATTAAAGTAAGATGACAGATTCTTTATAATAAGTATTTTATGTGCTACTGTAATGGTATATAACCAAAGCCATGCAAAGGAAAAGCAATCCACCTGTCGTAGGGAGTGAAGGTCATTGAGTGAGTTTTTTAGACTACGGTACCTCTAATAGACCGAATTAGCGATCGACGCTGTTCAGCTATTATAGTGGGTATTCCGAACCCAGGCCCGTAGCCAGGTCATTTCAAGGGGAGTTCTCTAGGCGTGGGGTCCAGGGGGCCTGCCTAGGGGCCCCGGTGGGGTCGGGGGCGAAGCCCCCGAAGCCAGAGCAGTTTTTGTGTTTAATGGGTCTATATAATGTTATAAAACCAGTTATGTTTTGAAAAAGATATATGTAATAAAAAGGTGGTAATATAATAAAATTAGAAAATATTTCGTGAGTGGATTTCCCGTACGATTAAACATCGTAACGTTACTGGGTTTGGTCTACAGGAGTTCGTGCTTCGAAAAGGTCATTCCATTCATAGAAGAAGCCTTTTGATGGAGAAAGTGTACTTTTTTAGCAAAGGTTTGCCTAGGTCGAAACTAACTCCGGCTATACAAAAATTGATTAGGATATTGAAAATGTTATTCGTGTAAATAAATAGATAAAGATTACTAGGCCTAATATGTCCATTTTTATTGATCTAATCTACGTATATTTACTTTCATAGTTTATATTTAAATATTTAAAATTGTTTATAAATTTATCTAAAATACTATATGAAAT